CTAGGTGATTCCGGAAGTGAGACGTCTGGGAGTCAGGGCTCTGAATTGAACAGTAAGCCTACCGCGGATTCGAATAACTTGAGTGAGGCTTCGTCTCATGCAAAAGGTATAGAGGACCTGTCACACTTTGGTCGTATGTCAGCCAAAGGCTTGTACTCTAGCGTTGCTGCAAGTAAAGAGAAACCCACGCCAGACAACCAGGTGTCTCAGGGATGCACAGTGGACAGTGACAAGAAGCGAACTCTGATCGAGTCACTGAGCAAGTTGGACATCAAAGGCAAGCAGCGGATTCAGCGAGTGAACGCAGTCACAGGCAACGATACCTTGGAGGGCATAAATACTCGGCGTGGTCCCCAACCAGTGGAAAGGGCGAGAAGAACTGTGATCACTCCTTCATATGCCACGGTTCTTTCTGGAAAACGTGCTCTTCTCAATAATCCATCTGACACCCTCCAGGCAACCATGGCAGCATTCTCTAAAGTATCAGACGAGTCTTCCCCAAGACAGGATAGCAATTGTGAAGCACGCTCAAGCCATACAATACTGTCTCCTATCCCAGAATTCACCAGCAAAGCCGCTACACCTGGTAACTTGAACTCCCACAAACCACTCAGTCAAACGGGCCCAGAAACCACAGGCTCCAACTGCATCGACAATTCAACCTCCACCCCCGTGTCCACAGCATCCACTGGCTGGAGCAACACAACGCTGCAAACCAGCCCCCAGACAACCGAGCCATCTTCTGAGCCCTCCTCCTCCAAGACAGCCAGTCATCGCCACGCCACTAGTCTTCACCACGCCCACCCCCTCCCACCCACACCCCCAAGCAGCACCCATTCCCACTCCCTCTCCACCCCCAACGAGGCCATAACCAATGCCCAGGGCACCCTCTCCGCCCAGAAACCCGAAGGCTTCTTCTGGCAGCTCGACAGCCACGGCTTCCCCTGTGCCAAAGCGCACTGCGAAAAACGCTGCAACCTCTGGGACGGAGCAACAGTGATCTGTCCACGATGCGGGCCCTACTCCGAAGTACGCTACTGCAGTAGAGACCACCTACTCGAGGACATCAAACCTCACTGGCTCTACTGCGGCCAGATGGTATTCCAACATCCATGTCGCGAGACCTCAATTCCCCGCCGAGTGGGCGTCGGTCCCCCCATGATCCCCTGCGTCCATCACTACGACATGCCGGAGCGTCATCGCCAAGCAGTCCACTTCAACATGAACTTCAGAGAAGGCGACTACTTCATTTTCACGGACTGGCTCGATTTCGTGACCGCCGGGCTACCAGGTGATAAGACCGCAATCCGTTGCTCAAATAGAGTTATGTACGTGGTGAAGTTCGATGATGCCGCAGAGAAGGATCGTTTCCGTCGTGTTCTCGCGGCTTGTCTGTTCAGTAAGATCCTCCCCTCCCTTACCGTCTCCCACAAAACACTCACTAATAAATTCCTTCATAAACAGTGACCATCGAACTCCCCGACCTAACCGACTACCTATACCGCCTCATCCGGGACAAACTGCGTCTCTCGAACGCCCCTAATCACATCGAACCCTCCCTGCGCTACCAATTCCTGCAAGAGTTCAATGTCACCATCCAGGAACGCATCACCGGCGCCCGCCATGCGTGCGAAACCGACTGGGACGGTCGAAACCGCCGCAATTGCCACGATTCAGTGTGTCGGAGTGAGTATCGTCGGTTGCTGGGATCCATTGGTGGCAGGGGGTATAGTCGGGTGATTGAGGCGCTCGAGTCCACGTATTGGATTCTAAGGGCCGCCAGGACGACGCACCCGACTGTTGGGGATGCGATGAAGCGTATGAGGGGGGAGGGGTATGAGGAGGTGGCGGACGAGGATAGGCGGGTTTTTAGAAGGGGGGATGGGTGGGATGGGGCGGGTACGGGAGACATGGAAATCGAGGGGTTTAATGAGGGGGATGAGATGTGAGGGAGTACGGGAGGGGAGGGGGTTGTGGGGGGGGATGATGATGGGAGGATGAGTGGGATGGGATGCTGATGCGATGCTGGTCGTTGCGTTGTGTCTGTTCTACCTGTCTTTCTGTCCGAGCTTCTTTCTTTCGGCTGTCTGCTTTGGTCTGTTGCTCTGGAGCAGAAGGATTCGAGGCAAAGACGAGGAGAGATGGGGGGTCGGATGGATATGATGTCTTGTCTGTGAGGTGGATATTGTTGTGTAATATGCCTGAGATACGAGCATTTAGTTGTGGTAGATGTGGCATGAGTAAAGTGAGAATGTGTAATATGAAGATACTAAAGATGGGATGATGAAAATGAATTCTGTGCCAACCAGCCCTTTTGAAGTCCTCTATTCTTCCTATATAGTGGGTAGTGTTGAACCAGCCGTTGAAGGCAATATCAGATTCCCGCTCTATGCTAGCCCGTCACATTAATCAAACATGTTGAAACGCTCATGCAATATACTTCTTCAGGCCGCGCAGCCTCTCCTTGGCCGTCTCCAGCACGTCGTCGTTCTTGCAAACAGCGAAGCGGAGATAGTCCTCGGCGATGTGCGCATTGGCGTCGGTGTAGAACTCGGTGGGAGGGATGGCTGCCACACCGACTTCGTGGATCAGGAACCAGCACAGCTTGAAGTCACGAGGACGGCTGGCGACGTGAGGAGGGAATGGGTAGTCCTCGGGAAGCTTCACCGAAGACATGTTGGCAAGAACGAAGTAGCCTCCCTCGGGGTCCGAGTACTGCGAGCGATGGTTAGTTCATGCTTTGAGAAATATTGGCAATGGGATACTCACGGGGATCTTGAGTTCGTCAAAGACTTCGCAGAAACGCTCCATCTTCTTCTTCATCTCGGCCCGGCTCTCGTCCCAGAAACCGACCTTGTCGGCCTGCTCGAAGGCAACGGCGGCAGCCTCCTGGAGGGGAGACACACTGCTGTAGCAGATGCGGGTGTGCGCGCCGGCCACGTACTTGATCAAGTGCTCGGGGCCGATGAGGTATCCTACACGCCAGCCAGTGGCGTAAAAGGCCTTGCCTGCAGAGCCGACGGTGAGAGTGCGCTCGTAGAGCTCGGGAGACAGCGTAGCGATTCTGGTGAAAGGGACGTAGTAGAGGCGGTCGTAGACTTCGTCGGAAAGGATGATCAAGTTGTGCTTCACGCAAATCTCTCCGATGCGCTCCAGCTCAGCGCGCGAGAAGACCTTGCCAACGGGGTTGTGACTGTGTTTGGTCAGTTTGCTGCTTGACATGTCGTTTGTCACGCTACTTACGGAGAGTTCAGGACCTAAAGACATGGTTAGTTATGGCAATTTAAATGAGGAAGTAAGGCACGCTTACAATCATCTTCGTTTTGTCGTTGATGGTGTTCTCCAACTCCTCAAAGTCTATCGTCCACTCGGAGGCGGGGGAAGTCCTTGTCGCGCCATCCTTGGGAGGGTGAAGCGGGACGTAGCGGATCTTTCCACCGGGCATCTCAATGTTGCTAATGTACCTTTGGGGCCGTCAGACGGTTCGCATGGTAGGAGTAAAGGTGACTCACTGGTCGAAGAAGGGTTCGAAGATGATCACCTCGTCGCCGGGCTCGATGAAGCCCATGAAGGCACTCAGCATACCTGAACAGTCCGTCAGCTACCAGTCGCGCACACAGCCCAGTATGTCCCACCTTCATTTGCACCCGTGGTGATCGTAACCTCGGTGTCCGGGTTGAGAGCCCGGCCAAAGGAAGGCGAGTAGGCATCGGCGATGGCTTTCTTCAGACGCGGGCGTCCCTAGTCGAATGTGAGCAAATGTTCCGGTATGGGAATGTCGCAGTCCACTTGTACCTTGGTGGGGGAGTATTGGTTGCAGTCGACACGGTCAAGGGCCTCCTTGGCGGCATCCAGGGCGAACTTGGGAGGGTTGTAGCCACTGCGCAAGTAGGATCATGGTCAGAAACTCCAGTTATCCTGGTTCGGCGATTTAAAACTCACAAGAAACCCTGTCCCATGTTCACGATGGGCTGGACGGGGGAGGCAGCGGCGGCCTCATTGACAATGGACCTGCGATCCGGTCAGACAATGAGAAGCAGCAAGGGGAGAGTTCGCGCGCATCGCACCAGACATCCTGTCTCTGGCCAGCGACTCTGGCCGCCGGTTTGAAAGGGTCGGGACGAGCCGTGGTGGCCGACATCGCTCGGAAGAGAGACTGGCGGGGTAATGTGGGAGTCGACGAGGGGCGCAGGAAAACGGCCGGTGAGGGCTGAAACTTGATGGCTCTGGTAGATAAAATAGCAGCGCGGTGGCCAGAGAACATAGAGGCAGCTGGGCCGAGGAATTGGAGGAGAGCGGGGAGAGGAGAGAAGGGAAAAGAAGAGTGGCTCGAAAAGTAGCGAAGAGAGTCAGATCAGATCCGGGGGAGACAAGAGCGGGACTCGCTTTGGCGGCCGCCAACTATAATTGCGTGCTTTGCTGGGTCGGACAGCGCTGATAAGATACCGTTCCACAAGTGTGAATTGAAGACTGTCTCGACACGAGTTCTCTGTCTAATAGATATTTTAGTGCTTGGAGGACCAAAGGGGATTAATCGTCAGTTCCCCATCCTCCGGCATGTGCATCCCTACCTCAAGTACAGCAATGACAGTAGCAGTGACAGTAGTAGACAGAGATGAGCTCCGATGGGCGCGATAACGTGAGTTCGGAACGGACCTCGGTAGGGAGTGCGCGAATGTCAACTAGACGTTGCTAGAGACTGTCGACGAATCAATTGATGCAGTATGAATGAATGCGTGCTTGCTATTGACTGGTGTGATGTTCTGGTTGTAAATCAGACCGAGCATCGGAAGTGACGCATTCAGTTCCTCAGGCACCCAGGCACAACAGACTCCCACGATTCTTAGTCAGCCGGCTTATCGCGCGCGTCGGAAACGCGTTTCACCACTTAATCTAAAAGTGAGTTGATAGCTCCATTTCCCATGGCCGCCACTGGGAGCTGCTCTGCACCCAGATTGCTGGCAGCGTTTCTGTTATAACTCTAATGACTATCCGCCATCATGGTGTCTTGTCCCATCTGCAGCCAGTCCGTCTCCTCCCTGAAGATTAACGACCATATCGATTCCGACTGCCAGAACTTTATCGAAGAGCCGTCCAGCTCGGGCGAGACTCCCGCCACTCAGAAAGCTCCGGTTCCCAGCTTCTTCCAGCCAGCCTCTGCGAAGAAAGCTACTGCCCAGTCTGCTCAAGCAAATGGACAGCGAGATCAAAATGTGACGTCTTCCCCCTTGCGCAACGTCAACGGTAAACGGGCGACACCGCACGATGCCAACTCGTCGGAAGTATACGAGAGATCTGGGCCTAGCCAACCGTCGACTGAGCCAAAGAAACCCAAGGTTAGCGCCTTGCAAAAGGCTGCACCGTTACCGGAACGCATGCGTCCCCGGACTCTCGATGATGTCTGCGGGCAAGAGCTTGTAGGGCCAAACGGGGTGCTTCGGGGGCTGATCGAGCAAGATCGGGTTCCCAGCATGGTCCTTTGGGGTGGTCCAGGAACAGGGAAAACAACTATTGCTCGCGTGATTGCTTCGATGGTTGGTAGTCGCTTTGTCGAGATTAACAGCACCAGTACGGGGGTTGCCGAGTGCAAGAAGATCTTCTCCGAAGCGAAGAGTGAGCTCAGCCTGACGGGACGGAAGACCATCATCTTCTGTGACGAGATTCATCGATTCTCCAAGTCCCAGCAAGATGTTTTTTTGGGGCCCGTAGAAAGTGGGCAGGTTACCCTCATTGGTGCCACCACAGAGAACCCCTCCTTCAAGGTGCAGAGCGCTCTGCTGTCCCGGTGTCGGACATTCACTCTGTCCAAACTTACAGACGAGGATATCAGATCAATCCTTCATCGGGCACTACGCCTGGAAGGACCGAACTATTCGCCTTCGGAACTGGTCGATGAGGAATTGATTGATTACCTCGCCAAGTTCGCCGATGGGGACGCGCGGACGTCCCTCAATCTTCTTGAGCTCGCCATGGATCTGTCGAAACGGCCTGGAATAAACAAGGACGAGATCAAGCGGTCATTGACGAAGACACTTGTTTATGACCGGGCCGGGGATCAACACTACGATACCATTTCCGCCTTTCACAAGTCCATCCGGGGGAGCGATCCGGATGCGGCGCTATACTATCTTGCTCGCATGATCCAGTCCGGGGAAGACCCGCTCTATATTGCTCGACGTCTGATCGTGGTCGCATCCGAAGACATTGGGCTTGCTGACAACAGCATGCTCACGCTAGCCATCTCGACCCACTCGGCCGTGGAAAAGATCGGCCTACCGGAGGCACGGATCAATCTGGCACATGCGACGGTTGCCATGGCACTCTCAAAGAAGAGCACGCGGTCGTACCGCGCCCTGAACAATGCATTTGCTGCGCTAGCAGAGCCCGGCGTTGCTGGGCTACCGGTTCCGATCCATCTGCGCAATGCGCCGACTCGGTTGATGAAGGAGCTCGGATATGGCAAGGAATACAAGTATAATCCTAACTATGTCGATGGGGAGGTTGTCCAGGATTATCTTCCGGAGCAGATTTTGGGACGGAAGTTTTTGGAGGATCACGATCTAGGGCATCAGGTGGACCCAGATCTTATGAGGTAGACTATCATGTCGCTGTCAATGAGGCAGTATAAACCTGCCAGTGCCATTGACTCACCCTCACTCATCACACACAAGACCACGTATAACCAGCCTGTACCTTATGGCATGAATATGCTTACACAAGACCACCTCGATCGCCTCGAGCGTTGGCAGTATGCCAATGCCAGATCTGGGACGTAAGTCCGCCTGCACGGTCAGACGGAGACCATCAATATCCATGCAGGTGTTTCCAGAAATAGCTTTCCCCTGTTCAGGCACAGGGAAGTGCACATTGGGCGATTGGTTAGGAGTATGAGTGACCATGGAGGCCAGCAGATACCAGGGGTACATCTAAGGAACAGCCTCACACATACTTTCCTACCGAGAACAATCGACCATGGTAAAAGAAATGGATATTATATGACAGACCATAATTTTCTACAATTTAGACTTCTAGTCTACCAAGAAATAAGTACAAAGTAGGATGTTCAAACCAAACATGTTCCAGGTTAGCCTCCGCCGCCAATCAAACCGCCGCCTCGCGTCTCCATCGCGTCTCCACCTCCATCTTTCTCTCCTCTTCCTCCTCCAGCTCTTCATCTCATCGCCCAAAGTCTCCAGATTGTTTACCCACTGCACCACCACCCCCTTACAACCTGTCATTTTACCCATCGCAAATCCAATCCCACTCTCTCAACTCCTTGCACCAACAACACCCCTCCATTGACTCTCACCCTCCACCCCCCACCGACCGACCGCGGTCGGGGTGCCCTCTCACCGACCTAAACCACACCACCAACAACCAAACACAATGGCTTCCTCACAACCCTTCGGCACGCGCTCCTACGCCTCAGGAAAACTCCCCGACCGATCCATCAACGCCAACGCCCTCCCCTTCAGCGCCTCCTCCTTCTCGCGACACCGCAGTCTCGCCGGCGCGCCCGGCGCTCCCACGGCCGGCGACTTCGCCGACCCCAAAGCCAGCCAACAGGCACCAGGTCCATCGCAAGCACCACCGCAACCACCCATGCATTCACAACCCCAACAAGACACGAACCCCTTGAACCGATTGACAGAAGAGCAACGCGAAGAGATCAACGAAGCTGTAATTACCCCCCCCTCTCCAAGTCACTCCCCGTCAACAACAAGCACATACACACATACATACATACACTCTGCATCCTAGACGGAACAACACATGATTAACGAGATAAAACAAACAGTTCACCCTCTTCGACCTCGACCGCGACCGCCACCTCGACTACCACGAACTCCGCGTCGCCTTCCGTGCCCTAGGCTTCACCCTCCCCAAACAAGAGCTCATCTCCCTCCTAACCACCTACGGCGTCCCGCGTCCCCAAGTCCAACAACAGCAACAACAGAACGCCGGCAACCCTCCCCCACCCCAGCAACAACAGAACCGCGCGGCAGCAACTACGAACCCCCAACACCCGAGTAACTTGCTCATGCCACTATCGGCCTTTCAGGCCGTCACGGCGCTGAAGATACTGGAGCGGGATCCGCGCGACGAGATCCTGCGCGCGTTCGAACTGTTCGATGAAGGCGGGAAGGGTTACATTGATCTGGAGGATTTGAGGCGCGTAGCCAGGGAATTGGGTGAGACGGGCCTCGAAGAGGAGGAGTTGAGGGCTATGATTGAGGAGTTTGATTTGGAGGGTGTCGGGGGTGTCACGCGCGAGGCGTTCGTCGGAATTTGTTGGCAGTGATTCTTCATCTTTTTTTTATACCTCTCTTTCTTTAGTTTTTTTTTTTTCTCTATTATTGGATATGTATGTGGATTGGGTGGAATTTCCCGGTTTGGTGGGTAGATGGGAGATGGATGGTTTATTCTTGTTTACCTGACTGAATTGTCCTTGGTGTGTCTGTGTTTTCTTGTTGACGTCTAATTATTTACCACTCGTACTCTGCATGGACTGGCGCCAATTGATTTGGGATTTTGACTATACCATGGAAATAGGATTATCAATATCGAATCTCTTCCTGACTGCTACTACGACTACCATGCTATAGTCACTGTTACCCACGATACCTACAAGACGGGAGTAATATATAGTTCGAAGAGTTCATTATACACGGCAAGAATACATACATCAGAACCCCCGACCATACATACCACGGCCCGTCTAATATGGGCAAGAAAGGGAGAGAAGGTAAACGATCAAAGAAAGAAAGAAAGAATGATTGATTGAGCAAGACGTGAACCGACCCCGGGCACTGTATCCATTGATTGTAAGTTTAAAGAAACACCCAGACCCCATATAGAAAAGAACAACAATCCAGCACCAAACCAAAACTCTAAAACACGCCTCCACTCCAAGACAAAGAATGTTAAGATCAACTAGTTCAATCAAGCAATCGTTACAAAATGCAATGCTAGTGGCTGCAAGAATCATAATGCATACTAAATCGCACGAAAACCCCCGTCAATCAAGCGTACCGCCCCTGGGGAGACATATATTGCGGTCCTGGCTGGCCGGCTACCCCGGGATATGGTGGCGGCGGCTCGTTCCCTAATCCTTGATAGCCTCGCGCCGGCCACTGGTTCATGGGCGGCGGCGGGGGAGGTCTAGCGCCGGGCCAGGGTCCGTAGGGCACTGGACGCGGGACGGGTTTGGGGGCGCGGGCTTGACGACAGCGGTTCACGATGCAGGTCATCAGGGCTAGAAGGATGAGGGCGCCTACGGCGCAGGCGACACCGATTACGATGCCCTTGTGGTTCTTGATCCAGGATTCGACGTTCTGGCCCTTGCAGTCGCCGTTGCTGCAGTAGCCACCACTGCCGCAGGGAGTGCCGTCGAGGAAGTTCTGGTTGACGCTGTAGCACGTGCCGATCTTCGGGGAGGTGCAGACCAATTCGCAGGAGGAACTAAAGGAGGAACATGCGTAGGTGTCGTTGCTGTGGAGGAGACTGCCCATTACACTGCGGCATTGGTAGTCCCGGCTGGTGCATTGGCCACTCGCGCAGGCGAGTCCCGAGCCACTGCTGCCGCAGCTGGTGCCGTCCTTCTTGAACGAGTCGGTGGGACAAGTGCTGGATTTGCCGCTGCAAGTCTCTGCCACGTCGCAGTCGCCGCGACTGGCGCGACATACTGTCCCGGCTGAGGAGAATTGGCAGCTTGAACAGCAGCTGTCGTTGGAGTCATCACACACAGCTCCCGACTTGAACTTGCATGTCTTCGCGTCGCAGCAGTTGTTGTTGCCACAGCCATCTTCCCCGCCACAGTCGCAGTCTTCGCCGGACTCGACGATTCCGTTGCCGCACTGGCTACCAGTGTAGGTGGTGACGTCGCGGTTGGCGGAGAGACAACTGGACTTGACGCTGTTGCGGCCCAAGGCTGCGCAAATATTTCCGATAGTGCATTGCGAGAACGAGGTGATGTCTGTGCCAGTTGTGGGGTTCATAATGTATTTTGCGTTGGCATCGCAGGTGCTTGAGGTCAAAGGACAGCACTGAGACGAAGCTTCAAGATCCTGCGCACAGGTCTGAGAGTCACAGTCGTGGACGGCGCCGAAGGTGTGGCCAGATTCATGAGCAAAAATTTGCCAATCCGAGCCGGAAGACCGAACGACAACGTTAGTTCCACTGACCGTACTGGAGCCATCCGAAGAAGCATCGCTATTACAGAGTTGGCCCAGCCAGGACAGTCCGACCTCGTTGCCCGTCGCGCAATCGCTCATCAAGGTCCAATAAGCATTGTCGTCCGATTGCTCACCGCGCCACTTGGAGAACAGATCCAGTCGGGAGGTGAGATTTCCGCTGGAGCAGGGCATGTTCCATGCCGTGGCTGCAGGCGGGTTGTCGGGGCACGAGCTGTCGGTGATGGTCAAATTCCGCAGCCCAATCGTAATGTTAAAGGACTTTTCGTAAACATTGGACGCGCTGTTCACAGTACTGATGACCCATTCCTTGGCGGCCGTCTCGTTGTTAAATGAGCCGGTAAAGGAGCAGTCCGTTGCAACGCCAATCAGAGCCACCTGTTTCGTGCTCGGACAGCCCGAAGTATCGCCAATGGTCGACGCCAGATTGACACCACCAGCATTACCGGACACACTTCCGATATCAGACTGGCGCTTGTTGAGTCCAAACAAAGAGTTCAACGACATCGCTCCCCACGCATCCGGTTCCGCCTGGACGTACGGTTGTAGCACAGGGTGGTTGGGGTTGGTGTTGAAGCCGAGCTGATCGGCTTGACACGAGGTTGATCCGAGCGACGACCGCTTCAATTCCGTATGTAGACGCACCATATCCGAATCCCGGTAGAAGATCATATAATCCTTCGCTGAGTCAGGAAGGTCGACATCCACGGGGCGTTTCTTCTCCATGTATGCCGATTTCAGCTGAACGTGATGGTTGTCGCCGTCGACACTGAAGACTCCCTCAAACAGTGGCTCCGAACCATCCTGCTTCAAGTAGATCCGCGCCCATCCGACCGGATCCCACATGCCTTTTCCTCGCCCGAGTAGACTCCTCCCCTTGAAGACCTTGTGCTCATGTCGGGCAATGGGCTCGTGGCGTCGCACGTTCCCGTCGGCGTCGAGGTACTGTACGGATGCGTCTTCTGCCAGGATGTCGTGGTTGGGTTCCAGCTCCAGCTTTATCCGCTGGTGCGTGTCATGAATATTGAAGGTGATGTCAAAGTGGTCAAGGTGATCGACCCGCTGCGAGGGCGTCTTGATGGTGGGCTGGTCAAGCGTCGAGACATGACGAATGGCACTTGGAGCTTGTGATCGAGCTGCATTCATTCAAGTTAGAACAGACCCATGCGCCGGATATCGCCGAACTAACCTTGTACACTGGCCCCAAAGAGTGATATAGCACTTGCAATGAAGGGCAGGGAATAGGTAAGAAACCGCATGGCTGTCAGCGAGTGAAGACAGCCGATGGGAGAGGTTGAAGGTATGCGCTGAACGAGTGTGCTGGCATCAAAACAACAGCGAGAGATCCGGAAAGTCAGGGTTAGCAGAGCCCTTCGGTCCACAGCATCAGGCAGCGACGAAAAGTGGAAACGAATGAGTTCCCTTTCACGGCTGAATGGACCCGGTCGAGATCTTGGCTCGGGATCCGGTCATGTATGACGGATCACTCCGGAGATTAAGCTGCACTGGAGGGGGTTTTATTCTTCCCCGGATCGTCGCAGTCTCGCACACCTTCAGAGGAAGTATACTGGAGGTGTGGAGAGGGAGAGGGAGAGGGAGAGAGAGCGACGGCGCAACAACCGGAGTGAGCAGTGAGACTCACTTGACGAGGGAGTGAAAGGGATTCTTCCAGTTGGCGAACCAAGGAGGTTTGGCTTGGCTGAAGGCGCAGCCGCCTTGGCGGGCGGGCGGAAATCTGGAATGAATGGCGAGAATCTCCCTCCAAACAGTAAACAAATACACGTTGGTCCAGAGGGCAAACAGGAGCGAGTCTAATTCAACGAAAGTGAATTGAATTGAGAGAATGGAAGATGATGGATGGGAAGATAAAGTGGAGGGGGTGGAAAAAGCGGAGGATAGTAGCGAGGGACTTGAGGAGAGGGATTGACAGGGTCCGGTTCAGGGATTGCAACTGGACCCCGAATCAACAACAACAAACCATTTGATGGTCGATTCATCGCTTCTCCGCTTTTGGTTGTCGCGGACACCCGCCAAGCCTCCCGGCGCTTACGGATCATCGCTCATTATTCTGTTGTCTTACTATAACTCAAGAGCAATAACCACTCATTCCTGGTGTCAATACTCTTCAACCATGGTGTCATCATTCCCCCCGCAGTTTAGCGCCCGGCAATCCCAAATCACGGTCAGTCTGGAACCAAATGAAATGCTTCGTGTGCCTCTCGGGCGAAATGCGGAATCATGGCGCCGCAGACGCCACATGCTACACAAGCCATGCCATCTTCTCCATCGCTCTCTTCCCATGCAGCTTCCTCCACTTCGTGCTCAGTCACGACTGCACCGTCTCCACGATGAAGGGGTTCCTGAGGGTGAATCATCGTGCCGCTGTTGCCCGTAAAGACAGGCACTGGCCCAGAAATGGCCAAGGCATCGTTGCGCCGCGACCCTTGGCTCTGAAACATCTTACCAATATCGCGTCCACTGCTTTGCTTCCGTTCTCCAGCTGCCTCTACCAGATTCGTCACAGCGACATTCATTAACCGCAGGTTCCACCCAGATCTCTCCGGGTGAAGCTTGCGGAACATGGACAGTAGCTGATCTTGTACCAACCGTTCAGCCAGCGCGTCTACACTCTCATCAAGATGAAAGACATAGCCGGGCAGCGGCGCTGACCGAGAAATTCTCCCCCCATGGTAAGCTTGCGCATTGTCTGTGGCAGATCGGGGCCGGGTGGACAGCCGCAGGGTCCGTGGATGCGCGAGCCATCGGACTTTAGATACTGCAACTTGGTTTGCTGCTGTACTGTCAGTCTCCCTGTCCTTCTCTGTCAGATCCGTCCGCATCCGACGAAGTAAGCTCCCTGTGAGCGAGACTAGCTCTTTACGGACGCTGTCGAAACTGTCCAGGCGACCGTAGGAATCTTCAATGCTTATCTGCGTGGGCAAATCTCCTGCCTGGACGACCTCGGTATTGTCTACGCCATGCAGCAGTCCCCAGACCCGCACCCCGATATCTCGGGGTGCCCCTGGACCCCCTAAGATCCGACTGAGCAGGGACGGGCCCATGCCAGGCAACAACCGGATGTCTCTCACAGTCACCTTGTCAGAGTCAGCGGTGTCGTCGGCGGTCACCGCTGGGACTGAGTGAGCGCCTTCATCAGCAAGATAGTGACAGAGTTTCCGCGTCAGTTTGGAGCCGATCCCAGGGATCTTCCTGATTTCGTGCGCATCGAGAAAATTCAGCACATTACTGGGCGCAGCAAGCGTCGGTGTAGTATACGGGGGAAGCAGCGTGGTCTGGTTGTTCGGTTTATGAGTGCTGCCTGCGAGCTTGGCGAGAAGCTTGGACGTAGAGATCCCCACTGTGGCAGTGTACCCTTTCTGCTGCTCCAGTTGACCACGAAGGTAGCCTGCGAGGTGCGAGGCCACCAGCAGTCGAGTGTAAAGCCAGGCTGATGCGTCTTCGTCAGCTGTCGCAGTCGTCGAGGGCGCAGCGGCAGCGATCGTATTCGAATCAGCTGGGTAAGTGGAGCCACATAATCGGGTGGCATCATAAGTGAAACCCACGGTGGGTTCGTGCCGGTCCAGATGAAAGAATGAATGTTCCAGATCATAGCGATTCAACAGATCGACATTGTAGTTGATCATCTCGGTGACATCCAAAAACAACTGCAGGCGGGTATTAGATGGGATCGCGAAGAAGCTCACTGCAGCCCAGGAACCCGTGGAGAACCACCTCAACGGGCAGTCCTGACAATGAAATCAAGTTTGCAGCAGAGTCGAAACTAGCAATACATACCTCATCAAATCCGAGTCTTTCGACCTTCTCCCCCCAGACGAAGGACCTAATGTAGAGGAACAGATCCTTGGATACATCGCGAAATCTAGACAGATCTTCACCTAAGACAATGACGACGTCCGGGCAGATTTGTTTGGCCTCTTTGATCAACTGGAGCTTGCGCAACCCGCGCCGGCGGGCCTCATAATTACAGGTGACTACAATCTGTTTCTGCTGGACGGCCAACGGCAAGGATTTCAGCACCGGCTGCTCCACCTCGAAGACCGAGGCGTAGAAACAATCATAATCCTGTGGGGATTGCAGAGAGGCAGTTAGCTAACGGCCGAATGGAGTCACGTTTCCCGTAGGGTTTTGAAAACGTTATTTTTATTTGAGTGCAGTATGGATCACTATATGGGTAGCGTGACTGACAAAGTGGAGGATGATTCGGCGGTCGTCTCTGGATGGTAACACAGCCATGAACTATGTAGCATCGACTGAGAGAGGGCCAGCGGGGATCAAATTCCAGGCAGACCTCAACGGAGAGTTGTATTCCGTCTGCTACCTTGTACTGAGTCCCTACTGTATCCGTAGTAGGGAGGCGAAAAGGATGCTGCGAAAACCTCCGGTGGATAATATTACCGGAATGCAGAGGGCTGGAGATGGGAGCTCAAAAAGGGAATTTGTCCGTCCGCACCTGTCATCAAGTAGCGAGAAGAGATTCGATAGTCAACCGAGATAGATCCATAGATAGTAGGATAGATAGTGCGATGCAACATTCTGTTTAGTGCGAATTGCGGCATCCAGCTGATTGGGCAACAAACCTGCGGCTGGGATGTGGCTGGTGCAGTGGTCACGCTTCGGTCGCTGGGTGGCTGGGGTAAAGCCCATTCAGACTTTCTGGTTGGTTGGACCCTGGCTGACTCAGTAAGTGCGTGACCATGACACTAACCCAAAGAGGTGTTATTTCCCCACAGTCACTCGTGCAGGGACTATCCCATTTTTAGAACACCGCGTCAGCTGCAGTTTTGATTGGTCCGTGCCAGATGCAACTGCCTTACGTAAGGGCGGCACTGTGACGCGCACCTTTTCCCTTTTTCCTGCTCCAGTTCAATTGCTATAAATAACGTCTCTCAACTCGTGCCCGGGAACGACAACCCAGCAATACTCCAACGTGGAAATGAATCAAAACATACACTCATTGTGGATGTGAGTCAACACTAGGCAGATTTCTAGCAGAGACATGGCGGAGATCAGACTGCTGGAGGAATGGATCGGCCGCGTGTCTCGCCCGGGCGTCGATGGCCAGAAGATGGCAGATGGAATGGAGCCGTTGGAAAGATCGGCCATTCTCGATCATCGGAAAACTGGGGCCCGTCGGCGGCGGCGTCAATAGTTGGGTTATAATTAGATGGGGAGCGACTAGCCGGTCGGTGGTCCAGCAGAGGAGCACTGAGACTGTGAAGAGTAGACATGCCTGAATGGAGATGCTGAGGGTACGATGGAGTCCAGCGACTCCATCCAGCCCGGCTTGGATGGTTGGATGGTTGGATGATAGGATGGCGAAGACTCGTAAATTTAGCACTTTTGATTAACAGTAATTTCTTAATTTCTTAATTTCTTTAATTTCCCTCCCCCGCGGCTAAAAGATATTTTCATTTTCATTTTCATTTAACCCAGTTTCCTCTTGGACTGACTTTAATCGATCTTCTTCTGCCTATCCTCTGGCTTATCCTCTGGTTCCAACAGTCATTTCTTCAACATTCCAACAAACCATGAGTCGCAGATCATTCTAAAATAAGGCGACCCTCGTACAAGTGCCCACGTCTCTTGTCTGCTTGGTTCCAGTGCTTGGGATCCCACCTGGTCTTATTTCAGAACCTTATCGTCCCTGGATTTAACGCGCTTGGAGCCGGTTGTTGCACTTCTGCATCTTGAATCACACTCCGGTGCTGTTGGCAAGGCGCTACTGCTTCTGCTTCGTCTTTGCTGCTTCTTGGTGCGGGGCCTTACTGTTGCACCCCCCAAAGACCTCCTCGCTTTCCGATCTCATTTCGTTTATTCTCCTCTCCTTCCTCTCTTCCTCCCTCTTCTTCTTCTTCTACTGCTCCCTCCGCCGTTGTGTTTGGGGGCCTTCGCCATGCTCGCAACCCCCATGACCCCGCAAGCATCCCACCCTTCGTCTTCTTCCTCCAACATGGTCTGCAGTCTGGCTTCGACTGCGACCACCAACTCCTCCTCTTCCTCCTCATCCGCCAGTTCCACACAACAAACTACGATATCATCCCGACCGAAGTTGACTCTCCAAACTTCCTCTCTTCCCCGAACCTTTGGCACATCGTCAACGGGACTGTCCCTCTCTCTCGCAACCGGAACGGCATCTCCAACCGTCCGCAATACCTTCAAAAATGCCTACGAGGTCACCGGCCCTTCATCCGCCACTGCCTCTCCGTCATCCAAACACCCATCCAACCAACGTTTCAGCAAACCATCCTCTCCATTTACCACACACAACCCATACCAACTCCCACTGGGGGTGAAGAGTATCTTGCGAAACTCGCCGCTCGAGCCGACCTGCCGCCGACGGGCTGGATCGGTGGCCACTACCGGGCCGAATGGTGGACCGAGCGCGCGCCGCGTCTTCTTTCCCGCGAAGAAGCAGGTCAGCTATCGCAATCCCTTGGAAGAGGAAATTCAGACCGTGCACTACACGGCACGCCACTCTGATTTACACGATGATCCCGAGCCTGCACTCCAACCTCAACCTCAGCAACCAGAGGTGACCTCATCAGATGAGGACTCGGATTCCAACGCCAGCGGGTGTCCCTCGGATTCCAGCACTTCCGAAGATGAGCCCGAGGCCGGCTTAGGGAAAAAGACATCGTCTCCCATTAAGCGGAAGAAGCGCAAACATTCCAATGCCGAGAGGCAAGTCCGGGCAGTGGCCTTGATGGACGGAATCGCGGGACCCAGCAACCCAGGCAGCCTGACACCACAAACGCCGCGCAGGAAGCGAGCTAAACGTCGCTGCGAATGGCGATGGACCCTGGGACCGTTAGAGAATCGTGACAAACTGCTTCATCCCGCCCAGGATGAGACGGGCTCAACATCATCCGTGTCCCAGCCTGAAACGATACCGCACGAGTCCGAAACGGAGACCCCGTCCTCCGACCCTCCGCTGTCCAGCGCCAGTACCACACTCTACCACTCCAGCCCCAGTTCATCTGTCTCGTCGGATGTGGAAACGGTAAATGACGAGTGGCAGACGCACACCACCCACGAACTTGAATGCGCACATGCCGATCAATGACGATAACCCATGCTTGGTTACGAACCCCCTTGCATTGATGATCACGAATTATGCATATAGACGGCAGATGAACCACAGCATACCCCATCCTACTTTCAGACATATTGCTAGATAGCTATTATTGATTTGGGATTTTCTTTTCTTTTCTTTTTCTGGTCGGGAAGCTCTACCTTGAATGTCAGGACGTTCATGCCATTTACATTCACCGACCAGTCAACTTTTTACACTTCTGCCTACTTTCTCTATAAATATTTTCATATCTTCTTCCAATAATATATATTTCCATGCATGTGAATGCAATCTGACCAGATGATCACATGGCTACATTCCACTTTCACCCGTGTAATGCTTGTGCTACGTGCCTGCCGTATGTTCATGCAGCTCCATGCTTCATACAAATCATAAATACGACGGTCGATCTCTGACGCATTCCCCATCCTATGCTTAATATAGCAACAATAATAACATGCGGAGACCCCATGATATTAACTTTCGTGGATCGCCATTGCGTCATAATATCCAACTAATCTATCTAGTAATAGCTGCATCGACTTGCAGATCATCCTTTAGATAGATCTTATGGTGCCAGCCAGCCAACCCTCAGACTTTCAAGAGAAAGAAGAAAGAAGAAAGAAAAGAAAAGAAAAGAAAAGATTAAAGAGAAATAGCTCATAGACTATTGCCAACTCGGTCAGAGTTGCAGACTGTTTGTCGAGCCAGGACAGAAATATAATAACCGTGATCTCGAAGGTGTCGTCTTCTCTTCTCTCGCATATTATGATAATGAATTCTATAATGTTGACAGGAAAATCCAAGATTAACGTAAGACTACGGGTGACAGATATCCAAAGGCAATTAAAGAATAGAAATGGTAACAATCCGCGAAGAAGAAAAACCACGTGCAGCACCTGACCTGCTAAGCAGCAGCAGCGGGCCGCTCCATCATCTTCTCCTACATACTTTCTCCAAAACTTTGAGCCTCCATTCTCGATTATTTCCCCAAGGCGATCTCTAGTGTCGTAGGTCCAACCTGCATAGGTTCAATCGAAAGGTGAACGAATGCTGTCATGGCTGGCGTTCATGCGGATCTGCGCAGTACGACAGGGACTGTTTCCTTCGAGCCATTAGCAGAATGCTGCGCATTTCGAGATCTACCTCGATGTCCCGCCAATTGCCCCCCGAAGTAACAAAGGCGCGCCATTTTTCGTCGCCCTCGATCATATCTCGCATGAGAGTGTCCACGCAGTCGCCACATCCGCCCTCTTTTACTGATAAAGCTTCAGGATGTGCCTTGCGCCATTCATGGACCATACTCAATGTCCGTATCAGGGTCTCCAGACTACCAAGGGTCTGTGATGCACGCATTTTTATAGCTCCTGGCGTCTCCAACACACCAGGCGCATCATCATCGGCAGGAATACTCACCAACCTTGTAAGGTCGGTCCAGTTAGCAAAGTCCCGGCATTCAACGGGATACATCCATTCATTGTTGAACACTGATATCCCTGGTTGAGGCCAGTACGGTACCAGATCCTCAAAAAAGAACTTTTGCAAGGCCCGATTAACCTGCGGGCGTCCCATTACAACGTAATGGCCCCAGTTCCAGAAAACAACGGTACCCCCCGGCCGGACTATCCTTGTCATCTCTTCCCAGAGCGGCTCAGGGTCGAACCAATGTGCTGCTTGACAGGCGATCACCAGATCAACCGTCTTCGATGCAATGAAGGGGAGAGACTCTGCATTGGACTGGTGATATTGGATATTACTGACGTCCGATTTCTGAGTTCTTGCAGCTTGCTTCAGCATGCCCTCGGAGGAATCAACTCCAATAACAGATTTGAAATGGGTGGCCAGCGCGCGAGCCACAGCCCCGTGGCCAGTGCCCAGGTCGACACATAGTTCGCGGGGAGACTGATGGTAGGCTAAAACAGTGTCGTACAGAGCCTGGGGAGGGGAAGGGCGATGTGCAGCATATGCTGAACAGTCATAACCTTCATCCCTTGCGGAGCAGAAAAAGGCTCATCAGTATGTCGGAAAATATAGACATCCGGGGAAAAACTCACGAGAAACTGGCCATTGGTCGGACGTGATGTAACCTTTCGCAACTATATTATCAAACTTGAGTCCTCCCTTTTGGACTTGTCACCGAGGACTAGAAGTGATTTATATACTAACTCATGGCGTGGATATCACTCCGCCATACCTTCCTACGGCTCTTATGCTCTAAGTATGCAGCAATGTGCGCAAGCCTCATGAGATATGAGATAACACGACTGTTCCACATACCCAGTTGCCATGACAATTCCACTTTTCTTTTAACGTTTCGAGCTGGATCTGGTCCAATAAAGGTCCTTATCTGAAACAGTAGGATTCCCGAGTGACGTTGCATTTCGGCCTCTTCCGCGGCGATACCTCTCCACGGAAGCCACAAACTGTCTCAGCCTTACTGGAACTCATTTCCGCTTAGGGAATATATTGATGTCACAGACTTTCGGCTAATACTGAGGATTCAAGCCCTACATATGTTTATTATGTGGACCACGCCTTTAGAATGGCGAATGTGTATCGCGATCAGCTCAGTTATCTTTCAGACTCCCGTGGCTATCATCATGCTGTTGCAGACCGTTGGAATAGGACCAGATACAGTGGGAAAGGATGGATCGAGAGACTCAACTACATGGCCCCATAATGATCGGCAAACCTTGAGACATCTTAGCATGACAGGACCCCTACTAGGAAACTCCATATCGCCCAATCGGCGACGGGCGCTCTTTGAGACAACTAAACGAGTACTTGCCAGTGCGATAAACGATGGGATAGCCTGCGCAACCCTTGAGTCATGTAAAAGCACCAGTCTGTTGTTGTGCTTACGCAGTCCCGGAGGAGCCATGGCCAGTGATGAAGACGCTTGGATCATGTGCGGTATGCGAGCTGACGCATATACCGAAACAGACGGTGGCAGGGTTCTTGGGTTTGTGCGGGCGGACGATCTCCTGGAGCCTGTGCTAAGCCGGAACCTCAACGGCGAGATATCAGAGGAGCTTGACCCTGGTGTGATTTGTCGCGTTATCTGCCGCTGGCGTTCTCGCCAAGATGAAGAACACGCGGTAGAGACGCTTGTAAAGGAGGTACGGAATTCTGCAAACAATCAAGGTGAACCAACAACTATGTTCAACCTAAACGATCCAAAGATAAGAACTAATGCTGAGACAGAGAAATGGTTGGATATGGCCACTACTCTGCCAATCCTACATCTTAAGTCTTCACCATGTGATTGGGAGCAATCAGTCGTATCTGGACATCCTACACATCCGGTACTACAACATTTCCCCCACCTTGCCCTACCTACTCGCCTTAGACTTGAAGTTAACCTTATCGAAGTTACACCGAGCCTGCCTTGCCCAGTCACCCCTAGATCCCATCATGCCTGATGATATCCCTTATCTACTAGAACCCGAACTATCATTCCTCTGCGTTCCAAAGTCAGACATGAAAGTCTTCGGGCCATTCCAGTCACTTCTGGACCCACTCATAACATCTCTTGGGATTCCCAAGCCTGATGATACAATCAACGAGATCGTCATACCTTGTTTCAGTCGCCAACTCCCAGCTATCACGCCACTATTCCCGAAAGCACGCATTCTGAGGGCTGTCCAAAACCGTTGCCGAGCACAACTCTCCATGCGGACTGTCTCTATGATGCCAGACGTGGGCGGCTCCCGGTTGCACCTGAAGCTATCACTGAACTGCCAAATCACATCTCGTCTGAGGACCATATCCCCCGATGCTGCAGCCTTGGCACCCGCAGTTGGGAAGATTCTTCAAGATTTACTTCCCCAGGATTTATGGATATTTGAAGAAGCAGCCTCCGTTACAGGTGCTCAGAAAGACTTCGATAAAGCCTGCCAATTAACATGCATTATCCGAAAGAGCCCAGAAAAACGAGCGGCGGACATCGGGGAGACACTCATCCCCGTTGCGGGACTCCTGCAGAAACCTCTGTACGACGATCGAACGTACATGGAGATTATATTTAGTCTTGATGACTTGAAGGAAAAGCAAGCCTGGTTCAGAAAGTAAGTAGTAATGATACTATACCCCATTCATATTTATGCTACCTCTATTCCCCCTGAACAAAACACCTAATCAAATAAAGATACCTCACCAAATTATTCTCCCTCATTTTCCCCCCTATGATTCGCCACGGAATCTACTTCGAAGCTCATAGCCAAAATATCCTCGTCCGCGTCAATCTCACAAGCAAGGAGATAAGCGGGTTCGCGCTTCGCGACTTTGACGGTATCGGAATCCATTGTCCTACGTTTCTTCGCCATCCCAACAACAAGAATGCCCTCAAAGAAATACCCCCCGGTGCACGTACTCTTACTGATAACTTACCTAGAATGTGGCAGTTAGTGCATCATGCCCTTCTCCAGGTACATGTGGGTCACCTCTTATACATGTTGGGATTAGAATCGAGGGGCGGATGGCGTATTGTGCGTGAAGAACTAGAGAGGGCGCTGAACCCTTCCGGAGATCCAGATGGTCGGGCACTGTATGACTACTGGTTGAAAGAGACGATGTTGTCTAAGTGTTTTCTGGAGATGCGGTTGCGGGATGCGCATGCGAAGGTGTGTTTGTATCTTTCTTCTCTTTGTGGGATTTCGAGTGTTGGATGTGTTGCTGACTATGGAACAGAAATATGAGAGGGAAATGCCGAATATTCTCCTCCGCGACGCTTGAGTTTGTTGCTGAGTAGTACGAGGGACACTAGTAACATAATGGTGGAGGGAAGACCAGCTCACAATAATGATATTGCACGTAATAGTGGGCATAATGGGTAACGTCTCTTCTTAAAGCTTTTGCAGTATGAGGAACTCTTCCTACCTACCCCTGGATCACTGTTCATTCCATTCAGCGAAGAATACATCTTAACCATGATAATAGTAGTGGTATCATCGGTAACAAGAGGTGAAAACAATCTGCACACCAGATTAGTAGGCATTGGGTTGGTGGACACTGTAATAACTGCGGTATGGTTAGTAGTCAGAAATCTGTCTTCTGATGCGGCTTGTCTAAGTCTATAAGCGGCAGCGAGCTTATGAAGCTACAGTCTCCACGTACGCAAAGGTCTTGGATACCCTGGAGGACAGACTAGTGGAAGAGGAGAATTCTGGCGCTCGGTTAAACATCCTCAGTGCTCTTGCATCGGCGCACAGGTCCCACAGATCGTGGAGCGACGCTATCGCGACGGGCGAACAGGCTCTTCGATTAGTTGAAGATGAGAAGGGGAAAGAGCATCCTCTTACATTGAAACAGCTGGGGATGCTCAGTGAGGTATACGATCTGTCGGGTAATAGGCGGAAAAGGAGCTGCGGAAAGAGTTGGATAGACGGAGACCGGCTCCGGAGAAGCAGTCTTTCTTTAAGCGGTTTTCGCGAACTCAAGACTAAAGAAAGGTTGTGAAAATATGTTTTCAAAGATTTAGTCCGGAACCTTCATGTCCATGCCCTCTCCTTGATAAATAAGAGGATTGAGGCATGTACACGGGGGTAAACACCTTATCAGTTCTGCCCTGAGCTTACGTGATGGGCATGGCCTCTTATCAGCTCTCCTCGCCTTGATAACAGCTACTAGTACCTACTGCTACACTTATCCCAACCCAATCACTAGCAACCTAGATGCACGCAAATGGACTCCTCCTCTCGTGTCTCTATCGCCTGCGAGACCTGTCGGAAGCGGAAGCGCAAGGTGAATCTCCACGTACACGTACATCCCTAACGGCAGTACATGGTAGAAGTACTAGATGATAACAAACCCACATAGTGCGATGGTCTGCGTCCGGCCTGTTCTTCCTGTCTGACCCGAAACACTCCCTGCGAGTATAATACAGAGAAGCGGATCAAGTTGGTATCCATCCTGAACTACGTACATCGTGCTAACTGCCACCTGCCTTAGGCGCAGAGTGGACCTCAACTATGTGCGAACGCTGGAAGACCAGATCGCGGCACTGAAGGAGCAATTGGCACGGGGACAATCCCAGCCCCAGATCACTGTCAAAGAAACTGTGTTGACTCCTGTTGACCATCGCGGTGAGCGGGCCGGCGGCGACGATGATGTTGTTGCAATAATCCCGCCTAGTATGAGCACGGCAATCGAGGATGTCAGCGCTCTCATCTGGCGCATGAGCATTGACAACAACGGCGACGCATCCTTCATTGGGCCGTCCGGCAACTTCTGCTTTCCCGTCGTGCATTGGGACGATTCGGACCTTGGTCATGAGAGTAGGACCACCAGGGTCACGGCCGCATCAGCGATAAGCGCCATTCCTGGGCAGCAGCAGCCTATGATGTCGGACCAGGTGGATTGGCATCTGATTGATCTGTTCGCGCGCTTAATCAACCCCATCCAGCAATTTGTTGACCCCGAGACGCTGCACAAACTCCGCGGAGATAACCTGAGTCCAGGTCTCCGACTGATTAAGACCGCTGTGCTGGCGGCGGGGGCTCTATTCGCTGATGATGCGCGTAGCAAGGCGCTCGGTGGCGAGGCAGCCGCTGTCGTCGATGCCACGGCCCTGCAGCTATGTCGGCAATCGCCTGACATCTCGACAATTCAGGCTCTCTCCATCATGTCATGGCGGGAGCTTAGCTTGGAGCAGCACAATATGGCCTGGATGTATAATTGTGAGTGCTGGTGCTGAAGAAACATGAGATGGGACAGACGCTGACACTCGTCTGCAGCAATGTGTGCCAGTCTAGTTCTACACTTAGGTCTACCAGCTAGCATCACGCCGGATATTGGTGCAGGTAGTCCTGAACTGGGCCATTTCCCTCAAGATACGCGGCGGCTGCGGGCCCTTTGGTCCTCAGTGTTTCTTGACCGGTTCGTCAACTGCATGCATTCATTGTCACATTAAAGATGCCAGCTAAACAAGTCGACACAGGATTGCAACGTCTCTATTAGGCCGGAATTGTCTGCTCCCATGGAAGCGAATCAAGGCACCCTCATTCCTCAGTGCCGTGGGCCCTTCACCCTCGTTGGACGAGCTCGCCTTTGACCACCAATGCCGTCTCTGGTTCATCCACGATCAATACATGGACAACATGTACGCCATAGCCCTATCCATTCCTTTCTCACAACAAGTACCAACTAACAGCTCAGTTACTCCTTCAACTTTTCCGAACTCAGCAGCGCCGATAGATCCCTCGTCCTTTTAGACGCCCGCGACAAACTTCACTCCTTTTCGCAAAATATCCACCCCTCCCTGCAGGTCACCACGACCAAGCACCCACCCCCATCAGCCATCTACCTCCACATCTCCTACCATACCTCCTACATCCTGGTCCACCGCCCCTACCTTGCCAACGCGGCCCAAAGCACCCCGCCTATCCATCGCCTCGCCTTCCGCTCTGTCTCCACCGCTGCCCGAGCCATCGTCCACCTTCTCCGCATCCATGCCAAGATCCACTGCTCCTTTACTGAGATCCCGCCGTTCATTGTGCACAGCGTGCTCACTGCCGCCGTGACGCACCTGTGCAACACCACGAACACGACGCATTCTACCCTGCGCAGCCAGGCGACGGCGCACTTCCGGGTGTGCTTCCGGGCGCTGCTCGCCATGCAGGAGAGGTGGGTGAAGGCGAAGCGGGCGGTGAGGCTGTTGCAAGGGCTTGCACGGAGGTGGCGTGTGATGGGAGCTTTGCCGTTGCAGCATGGGTTCGAGATGGGTCGAGGAGGTGATGAGCAGGATGAAATAGACGATGAGATGGAATTGGAGGGAGTAGACGCAGATGCAGATGCAGATGCAGATGCAGATGGCGACGAACCGCGCATGTCAGACATCATCTTCCCCGAAGCCTTCTTCAACTTCGATACAGCAGATGCCCAGCAATGGGAGTTCCTTACAGAATCGGCACCGGTCAATCAGATATAACGTCTCTGAAATGAATTATCTAACTAGCACTACTCCACTTTCAAAGATCATCCCCCACCTCCCTGACATGCCTCTGATCCCTCCCCCCAACCCCCAACCACAGCAAATCCGGCCTACTATAATGCCCCACGATATCCACGAACGCCTTCGCCCTATACACCTGCTCAAAGTCCAAATCAGCATAAATAATCCCCTCCTCCGTCGGTGGCAGCGCCTTCGACAAAAGCCGCCCATCAGGCCCAAAAACCGCCGAGCTACCACCCCCAGGAGTATTCATAATCGCCCCCGTAGCAGTCTGCATCAGATCAATCCCCGCTTGACTGATCACTGCCGTGGTATGAAGCACAAACGAAGAAGACTCCATAGCATACGTGCGAGCCAGCACCGCAGCTCCTATCACACAAAAACAATCAGCAATCATCCTCCATACAACAACAAGCACCAGGAAAAGAGAAGATACATACCCTCGCCCGACATCGAAAACAACCCCCCCTCATCCCCCTCATCCTCCTCCTTAAACAACGGCGGCCACGCCGCAACATGAATCGCCTCCCTCTGCGCACACATATAATACTTCAACAGGGGCTGAACATGTTCCCAACACGACAACGCACCCACCCTACCCACAGCCGTCTCAACAACCCCAGCCAACCCCGTCTCCGCATCAGCATCCCCAAACACCGTGCGCTCCATATGCGTCGCCTTAATCTTCCTCCTCTTGGAGAGAACCTCCCCCTCGTGCGAGATAATCGCCTGCGAGATGTACAGCGAGTCGTGGACGTTCTCAGTGAAGCCGAGCACGACGGTTATGTTGTGGGCTTTGGCTGCGTTGAGGATTCGTGCGAATTCGGGGGAGCTTGTGCTTAGGGAGTTGCGCATGTAGAGCGTGTGGAGGGTGGAGGAGACGGGGCGGGTCCTGTAGTATGTAGTATCTTGGCTTAGATTATGTTGGTTGATGGGGGATGGGAGAGGGGATACTACCATATCCACGCTGGATATCCTGGGATCCAGCATTCCGGGAAACTGATCAGTTGGGCCCCCTGTGAGGCGGCTTCGGCGATTAGAGAGCAGGTTTTGGTGATGGTCGCGTTGAGGTCGAGCCAGATGGGCTCGCTTTGGGTGACGGCGACGCGGATGGTTGGGGGTGGGGTTGTCATGGTGGTGGTTATTGTTGTTGGAGGCATGGAGTGGTCGTAGGGGAATTGAACCTTGGTGTTGTATTACTAGGTTATATAAGGCGCTTGGGAAGGCGATGAGTATATCTGAACTACTACTGGTATGGAAACAGCTCTACAATATCAGTCCGGGAGGTGATGTTCCGCCTGGAAAATACGGGTGTGAGTGTTTGGGTGTGCTAATAGGAAGTCAAAGTCAATCGTGTGTATCGGCCTACTATCAACTATCTTGTAGTTTGGATGGATATCAGGGCGGATGTGGATGTTCCGCCGCTAAAAAATGTCTGGTGTTGGCGAGGTAGGATGCGATAGCAACATGGTAATCGCACAAGCATGATTGCTTATCTGGAAGAAACCATGAATGAAAATACAGAATTGGGTGAAGGAAATAGATATGGGGTCAACAGAGAAAGACGAGGGCTGAGCAGCGAGATGGGTACACTACTGTAGTTACTCAATTCCACTACAAACCCTAGTATACCGTCCACTTCAGTGCTGAAATGAGATTGGAAATAATTAAAGCAACACATTTATTCCTAGCCATAAACCAATAATAATAAAGTCTGACTACAATCAATTCCTCTGCCTCAATCGCTTTCCCCAAAAGAACAATGGCAAAGTCGTAAGCATAA